TTCAGGCAGTAAATGGGCAATTGAAATTGAAAAAGTACAGGCATTAACAGTGGACCTTTGCGCTGGAAAGTTTCAAAACCAATTGAAATTAATTTCAAACAATTATAATTTTATTAAAAAAAAAAAGTATTAAAGAAAATTTAAAAAAAGTGGAAAGAAACGACAAATTTTTTGAAGGATAAAACAGCCAAATGCAAATACTTATAAAACAAAAATAATTTGTATTGTCTTTTTGATAAGATTACATAAAATTCAAATCGAATTTAGTATTAACAAAATGCCTCAGCAAAGTAATGAAGCCCTCCGCCTGTGCACCTGCGCCTGCGCATTGCCAACGACCGCACCCACCACATCCGTCACAGCTAACGCGGCTATCACAGCTGTAGCAATAAGACAAATGCACTTCTTGCCAAATGCAGCGATATGCAGAACGCTTTTAATGCAAATTGCAATTATCTGCCTGCTCTCAGCTGTAACTTGTGATTCAACACCCGCAACTTCGCCCGCATTTGATTCAGAGTCAGCGCCAATGCCTGCCTACTCACCACCGTTTGCCGCCCTGAGTACGAATGGCGATGAGCAGGCCTTCATAACGTCTTATAGACGCCTCAAGCGCACGCCCAACCTGGTTGCTGATAAAAGCCACGTTGCGGCGTCTACAGACACCGATGACGACTACTACGACGAGGAAGAGGAGGAGGAAGTGCGAGCCGGAAATGGGAACGAAAATGTCAGTGGACGTCAACGCCGTCATCAGCAGTTGGCATTGCCATCGTCTCGCTTTGGTTATGATGGCACCACAATTAAGCCGCAACAGTTCTATGCGCCAGAGAAGGCGCTCTTTAACGAAATTGGTGGCCATGATAGCAGGTCATTGAATTCATCGATAGCGGCGCGTATCAATAATGATTTATCGGTTTGGAGTTTACGGGAAGATGATAAACGTACGGATTTATGTGATGTATGCAATTGTAGCGGTAATCCTTTTGTTGAAATCAGTTGTGATTATAATCAACGAAATGCGAGGGTAAGTGAAATTCTTTGTTCTCCTTTAGTTTGATAGACGATACATAGAAGGAATGTGTTTCTTTGGATTAGAAGAAAAAAATATCACGAAAGCTAAGACTTTTTATCTAGAGATGGTTGTCGTTTTTATGTATGGATATAGAATTGATTCGTTAGTTTGTAGTTGGCCAGCCCTCTGTGGCTATAATTTCAGAATCCTCTCATTTAGTATACGGGTCATTTGTCACAATTCTATCCTTTATAGAATATGTTCTCATGTAAATGCATACGTATCTATGTACTTTCGATTTCCATTTGTGGGCCATTTTAAATGTGTACGTAGCACAAACATTTTTATTTGCATCATTCAACATCATCCATGTGAGTCCAAAATGCTTTAGGTGTGAGACCTGTCTCTCAATAAAGAATACTTTCAGCCTAAGCCAATTAAAAACACCAAGTGTAGCCAAGCGCCTCTCCACCTGTCCCTCCAACGCAGAGGTGGTACCGCATGAAATACATTTAGGCGCCTGAATCCATTCGAACGATATGTTTGACCTAACCAGCACAGCCGCTACATTTTAATTCGCTGAAATTTGTCATTATCGCCGTAACGTTAATTCGGCCCACTGTTCCAACGTCTGCTGCATTTGCCGATGCCAACGTAAATCTTCCGCAGAATCTTTATCTCCAACACTCCAAGCGCCGCCGCATCGGAAGTTGACTTATATTGTGTTTTTTTGTCCGACGAGAAAAGACTTAACTTGAGACTTTAGACTTAATTTGTATGAAGCATACCAAAATAACGCGGCGTCAACGCTAAGCGGTGGGAAAATCCGAATTTTACAGGGCGTTAGGTATTGAAGTTGGCTGTAGAAAACGGCGAAACTGTCATTTTCGTGTTACACACAAACAAATCTATGTTTATTGTCGGTGTGATTTCTGCATTTGACGTAGCGTTGACGCTTTTGTTTAGGTATGGCACTTCGGCGTTAACGCTAGGCGTCAGAAGCAGCTCCGCCCAACGCTGTTGTTTAGGTATGGCAGTATAACTCACATTATAATTTCCTATGTGTACACATACATATGTATGTATGTTTGTATGTATTATAAGTACATGTGTGTACATATTATACATTATACATTGTACATACATACATACATATATATAAGCATTTCTTGTGAATCGTTACTTCAATTACGAGTATTTAACATTAGCATACGAATATCTTTAGTTGATCAACGCTGAGTAATCCCTCAGATACTGCGTTGTAGACGAGACCCCCAATCAGTTAAATTATATAATATATTTTTCTTAAATGCATACACATGTATATACATATATACATACATACAATTATTACATACTTATTTCAACTCAAGTAAAAATTTTGCAAGATTTGTATTACGAAAAAAACGGCGCAAAAAAGAGGAAAGAGGGACAAATTCACGCCAATATTATCGGCATTACATTTTGCAGGGCCGCATTCATGCATACATACATACATATGTTTTTCTCTAAACGCACATAAATACTAAATTTAGATAAATGTAGAATCAACAAAATGTTTATAAACAATTGCGCCGGCATGGCCGCGCTATATACATATCATATATTATATGTACATACATATATAAGTACATAGTACATGCACATACTACTGTATGATACACGAATGCAGAATGAATAATTAAATTGAATGAAAATAAAAACATGAAAACAAATGCATAAATATATTTATATGTACATGCATGCATGTGTGTGGGTCATCAATAGCTTTTTCGCACGTTTTTAGATTAATCTACCAAATGACAGTTTCGCTTCCTTTAGTGTAGGCGGTTCTCGCGGTAAGTAATGGATGTTTACGTTGCTGATCACCTATTCATTATCTCGTTTTCTATATTTTTTTTTTGTATTTTGTTTAGCGTTACGAAATTTTGTAGGTGTGATAGCACTGTTCCACTTTTTTATCTATTCAAGTTTGTTTAAAAAAGTATAACATATTTAACTTTAAATACCAGAACATGTAGTCAGTGCAACATTCTGTTATAAATGGTTGCTAATTTGTGAAGTAAAGTAAACAAAAGCAGCTGGCGATAAAGAAAACAAATGCCATTATTGAGTAATACTAAATGGACTTTTACACACATTGGAGCTGGCCTTAGCGAGAACAGAAACTGGCTAATCTCTGTACTATGTACATATCGCACAGCCATCTGTTGCGTGTAATTCCACTTGGCAAACGAGCTAAACAGTCGACCAACCATTCCATCGACCAACCAACTACTAACTCACTAACCGGATAATCGGAGAACAGACTTAACCAGTTTGTCAGGTATGTTGATTGACGAAATTAGCATCGGGGAAAAGTGGCGTCAACAACACTAAATAAACGTGAAAAAGACAGACACATATAAATTCATGTAGGTAAATACATACATACAAACAAATATACGAGTATGTTTAGGCGGATGTGCTTATAAATAAAAACAAAGCAGCCATAGATTGTCGCACCGGCGAGCATATACCTAGTATCTACGTACATATATAGTATGAGTGTATATTGTTTATAAATACATGCATTTATCTTACATTATTTTTGTACATACATATATATATTTTAACGTGTGCGTTTAACATTGAAGCAAATATGTAATAATATAAATTTTGAGGAGTGGTTCCACTTTGCGTGTAATTGTTGGAGCTGAACGTGAAAATTACATGCAGCCCAAAAGGGGGAGAAAAACAAAAGCAAAATAAAACTTTTGATATGGGGCACTCCATAGCGATATGCACTGGTCGCAGAAATCACGTGTGTCAAGTTAGCACTACACTTTTCGAAATTGGAAAAGTTAA